TCAGAGACTGGTTTGTGATTTTTTGTGTGAATTAACCTATGTGTTCTCATTTCTTTTTTCATAGGTTGTATACCTATGATCTTTTTTATCTAGGTGATTGTTTATACAGTATAGGCCTCACTGAAGAAGGCCATCTGCATCTCCACCTCCTAAAACTTAATCTTTTGGCTGGACCAAGTGGCTGAGTTGATTAATTATGGGGCAGACTGTTAGCTTTGCTTGAAACTCTTGTCTTTTCTGCCTTAATGGTTTAGGCAAAAAAAAAAAGGGCCCAAAACTGTTTAAAGGGGGAATCCTAGAATTTTCCCCTCAGCCCAAGTTAAGTATAATGTGCCAAAGGGCTTTGGACAGGTGTGACACACCTTGTACACCTTCCTCCAAGAAAGCCACTCTTTATTAATGTGGGACATTGTATTTGTACCGACCTTTGTCATTTAGCTGTTATGATTGTGACTGTGCCTTCTAACCATGCTGAATTTGTCACCCCAGAAATCACCAAGGATCCCAGCTTGTCTAGAAGTGCCATCCTTTGGACACTGTGCGCATCTCTTTCCAGGGGTAGCCAACTGACATGGACTCTGCAAGATCCTTCTCCCTCACCTGAAGGCCTCCCTTCACTCAAGACACCATTTTATTAGGTTTTTGTGGATGAGGGAGTAGGCAGGACTACATTCTTTACTAGCAGGAAGTAGCTACAGAAGAATGAGATCTTCACCCATTTGCTTTTGTGAGGTTACAAAGATCCAGAAGCGTTAAAAGGGGGAATTGATAGTGAGAGATCTGATCAGATTATGGGGGAGGAGTAGGGAAGAACTGTAAAAGGAGGTTGCCTGAGACAATGGGAAACAGTCTAGGATGGGATTGGCTGAGTTGAACACCTCCAGTGTGCATGGAATTATGGGATAGAAGATTTAAACAAAAGGAAGACAGAGACTGGTTCGCTGTCTCTCTCCCTCAAGGATGCCTGGATGATTGTGCTGTAGCCAGCTGCATTTCCCAAAGGATGACACTTTAAATGGGAGAAGGAAATCTGGGCACAGCCTAGGATTGCTCTGGCCTGGCAGAGGGTGGCAAGATTACTTGTTTTGGGTGTTCTAGAGAGGATGGGCTCTGAGGCTGAAGCCTTCCATTCTTCCAAAATTGTGTAGCTTTTGTATGTCATGTTGTTTTAGTTTGTAAACTAATCTTATAGAAATAAGGTAATTAAAAACTAGCAAGGGGAATGATAGGGGAACTCGAATTAAAGAGTTTAGCGTTAGTTGATGGGCTTAAGCAACTAAAACTGGAAGTCAAGAGTTAAAAATATTTCAGGTTTATGCCTCCAGTCAAGATGGACATATAGGTAAACATAACTTGCCTCCTCCCACAACCACAGCAAAAATTACAACTAAACTACAAAACAAATATCACCCAGAATCATCAGAAAATTGAGCTGTATGGAAGTCCAATAATAGAGGAATTAAAGATGTCACATTCACTCAGATGAGTAGAAGGGGCAGAGATGTGCAGAGAGGCACAGAGATACAGAACAGGTAGCCACACACCCGTGCATGGTGAATAAATATTAGGAGGGATACATTGGGAGTGAGGGATGTCAGCCCCACACCAGACCACCCAACCCAGGTTTCCAGTGTTAGGAAGATAAGTCCCCATAACTTCTGGCTGTAGAAACAAGTAGGGGTTGGTGTGGTGGAAGAAACTATGGGATTCTCAAGTGTCTCCTCTTAAAGGACATGCAGTGGACTTAGGACTCGAGGCTCTAGCATAGGGGATGCAGTTGAAAGGGCACCAGTGGCATACAGGGAGAAATTGAAGTGTCTGGCATTGGGGTGAGTGCCAGGGGACAGCTTTCTCTCAGACAAAACTCCAGAGGCCAGGTTGTGTCATTGTCCCCTTTCTGAGCCCTCCCCACTCACAAAGCTACAAAGCAGCAACACCATACTGGAGACTATATCAACCTGGTTCACACAGGTTGTCCCACCCTGGCAATTACCTAATACTTAACCCCAACCAACTTACTGGAGTGCTTTTCTGCAAAGGCCATAATACTAAGACAGGGAATCAAACCAGCTCTACCTAATACATAGAAACAAACACAGGGAGGCTGCGAAAATGAGAAGACAAAGAAATATGGTCCAAATGAAAAAACAGAACAAAACTCCAGAAAAAGAACAAAACAAAATGGAGATAAGCAATCTATCAGATATAGAGTTGAAAACACTGGTTATTAGGATGCTCAAGGAAATCATTGGTTACTTCAACAGCATAAAAAAGACAAAGACACAAATGAAGGTTACACTAAGTGAAATATAGAAAAATTTACAGGGAACCAACAGTGGAGTGGATGAAGCTGAGAATGCAATTGATGATTTGGAACATAGGGAAGAAAAAGATATTCAACCAGAACAGGAAGAAAAAATCCAAAAAAACAAGGATAGACCAAGGATTCTCTGGGACAACTTCAAATGAAACAACATTTGAATCATAAGGGTGCCAGAAGAAGAGAAAGAGCAAGAAATTGAAAACATTTGAAAAAATAATGAAAGAAAACTTCCTTAATTTGGTGAAGCAATTAGACATACAAGTCTAGGAATTATAGATAGTCCCAAACAAGTTAGACACAAAGAGGACCACACCAAGACACATTATAATTAAAATGTTTAAGGAAAGATAAAAAGAGAATCTTCAAAGCAGCAAGTGAAAAGCTGAGAGTTACTTACAAAGGAGTTCCCATAAGACTGTCAGCTGATTTCTCAAAAGAAACCTTGCAAGCTAGAAGGGACTGGCAAAAAGCATTAAAAGTGATGAAAAGCAAGGATATACAGCCTGGATTACTCTATCCAGCAAAGCTGTCATTTAGAACTAAAGAGCAGATAAAGTGCTTTCTAGACAAGTTAAAGCCTAAGGATTTCATCATCACCAAGCTATTATCACATGAAATATTAAAGGGACTTATTTAAGGAAAAAAGATCTAAACTATAAACATTAAAATGGCAATAAATTAATAACTATCAACAATCTAATCTAAAAAAACAAAGCAAACAAGCAGAACAGAAACAGTATCATAGGTATGGAGATCACTTGGAGGATTATCAGTTGTGGGGGGGAAGTGGGAGGGAGGGAGAAAAGTTGCAGATATTAAGAACTACAAGTTGGTAGGTACTGAATAGACTGGGGGTTGTTAATAACAGCATAGGAAATGGGAGTAGCTGAAGAAATATATGCACAACCCATGGACATGAACTAAGGTGGAGGGATTGCCAGAAAGAATGGGGGGTACCGGGTTCAGGGGGGCAAAGGGGGGAAAATTGGGACAACTGTAATAGCATAATCAATAAAATATATTTATAAAACAAAATAAAATAAAAAGATTTCAGCCTTAGTCGATGGCTTAAGTGAGTAATACATGTGGAAAGATGTTATTCCAAAATTGTGTAGCTTTTGAATAAAGACACCTTTCCTTTTTCACCAAACCTCTGTCTCTGGAACTTGCCTAGCAGGTGGTGACAGACAGGAGGACCTCACTTGCTGTTCAGTAACAACTATGCACAGGAAAAAATGTAGCTTAAAAAGTGAGGCTAGCCCTCTGCCACAGGTTCGGCAGGGAACACAATGTTTCTCTGCACCAGGTATGAAGCTGTATGTGTGCAGGTATGAGCCTGAATTTGGGCCAAATTTACATTTCCACAGGAAAACTGCTTCAGTGGCTAATGGCCAACACTTTCTGAATCTGGGAAGTGGGCATGTCAGCTGCCACCAATACAGTTCTTCCCCAGGTATCTGGTATGGTTTTGATTAATTTTGAGATGTACCCAGTAAAGATATATGCTACCTAGTATCTTGGGTGGAGTTTGAGTTCTGGACTGGGTCACTGTGTTCACTAGACTACTACCCAGGTCACCCCCTGTATTTGCCTGTATTTTTCTGCACATTGCCATGTCTACTAATTCTACCCTTTTGTCATGCTTGGACTCCCCCAATTTCTTTTCCACTTTGATCCCATCCCTCCCAGTGTGTGAGTAGTCAGGACCATCCAGTTGAGAACTAATTCTTTTGCAATTGCTTCAGTGTGTGTGTGTGTGTGTGTGTGTGTGTGTGTGTGTGATATTCAACAGACGGACTGGCACTTTTAAAGGATAGGGACTTTGCCTGCAGGGAGCATAGTTGTTCTGTGATCCAGTTCACTTAGTCCCTTCAATACTACTCCTATAATTGGTACTATTTATTCAGAGCCTGCCATGCACCAGGTGCAATGCTAAGTGTTTTACATGTATCACCTCAATCTTCACTTTTGCCTCAAGGAGGTTCTTACACATGAGAAAAGTGAGGCTTGGGCAAATTAAGCAATATTCACAAAATCACAGAGCTAATGAGTGGTGGAGCTGAGATTCAAACCCAAGTGTCTCTCATTGCTGAGCCTACTCTATCACCTTGCCTTTTGAAAACCCAGAGAAACTGGATTTGATTATTTTCCAGTTGTCTCTTACGCAGGCAGCAGAGACCTTTATGAAATCAAAACATCAAAAAGTCTGTACCAAATTCTTACGATGTTCCAAACTCAATGTGGGATGCTGACAGCAGAGGGCAGACAAAATGCACATAAGGCAGTTCTTGTTCTTAAGTCCTAACAATCTCACCAAGGAAATCAGACCCACAGAGAACCAATTAGGATGGATATAAGTAGGGAGGATAGTGTGCCAGCATGGTGGAAACTCAGGGGTTTCTGGAGGACTCGGTACCTGTGCTGGGGCCTGAAAAATGGGCAGGTACTAGGCAATCGCAGAGGAGGAAGTCTACCACATGGGGAAGATAGCATGAACAAAAGCCCAGAGGAGGAGGTATTCAGGAAAGGATGGAAAGACCTGTCAGACTCAAGGAAAGGGATTTTTCTTGGGTAAGCTGGGGAAGGGGCTAGGATCAAAATGGTGGAAAGTAGGGACATATTCCTTTGCTATAGAGGACCTTTCCTGGTGGGGAAATGAAGACTTGTGCACACATACACTTTCTCCTTCAATTCCTGGGAAGCCCAATATTCCAGGGGAGCCTTTCAGGCCAGGTAAGCCTCATAGTCCTGTGGAGCCAGGGGAGCCAGGTCTCCCATTAAGTCCTTTGATGGTACTGCGGAATCCAGGAGCTCCAGGCAAGCCTCATGGCCCAGGAAGACCAGTTTCTCCCTTGTCACCTGGGAAATAGGCAAATGGCTTGGAAAAAGACTCAGGGAAAGAGAAAATCTGCTCCCAAAGTGCAGGTGCCCTGGGTTGCAAGCAGGCAAATTGCAGCTGGAGGACAGTTAGCTTGAGGGTAGAGGTGGGAGCGGGGTGGTGCCTTCAGCCTTATTGGGCACCAGTCAGGGCCATCCATGCTCCAGCACTGGGAAAGGTGCTCAGTGTCCATGCCCCACCACCTGCCAGATATCTCTGGGGGTACAACAGTCCATGGTTTAAAAACTCAGTTAAACAGCAACAATGAAAACCAGCCCTCTCAAAGTCCAGGTGCCCCTCAGGCTCAAGGAGAATAGGCTGTCAGGATCCCCTGCCACCACCCACACTGACACTCTGGAGGGCCTTGTAGTGTGGGGCCTTTTCTCAGGAAGGAAGTCAAGTTTTGTTCTAAGACCTTTCTTGGACATTTCTCCTGCCCATTCCCTGCCCCAGAACCTCTGAATCCAGGAAATCTGTCCAATCCAGCTGAGCTCTGAGAGCCTTTGTCTCCTTTGCACTGAAGGTTCAGCATTGGAAGTCTTAGACTGGGAATTCCGAATGGTCCCGGGTCACCTCTGTCTCCTGCAGGGATGGAAATAATAAGATCTGTGTGAGAGGGAGCTTAGACACAGGGTCAGGAATGAGCTGACCTTTTATATCAGCTCTTCCCTGAACCACCCCCTGACTCCCTTTATGGGCCCTTCCAGATTCTCCTGCCCACCCATTTTCCCAGTTTTGCATTTATGTGTATGCTCTATCCTTTGATAAACCCAAACTCCACAAGCAACTTTAGACCATACTCAAAACCGTTCTCTGTTGAGCATCTGGTAATGCATGACAAATACTGTGACATGCAGCGGAACAGAAGAAATTAGATGTTTTGGTTAAAAAGGACTTCATTCAGGACTTCATCCAAATCTTATTATCTGATGCAGGATTGGTACAAGCCGGATGAATGACAAAGTTGACAAACAAAATGTCCCTTGGGAAGGATGAATGGCAATTCCAGAATTCAATTCCCCAGCTCACCTTTTCGACCAGGGCTACCAGCCCATCCAGATTGTCCCACTTTTCTACCTAACCCAGGAATACCCTTTAATCCATTTGCACCAGGAATACCAGGGAGACTTGGCATCCCTGGAAAACCTATCAGTCCAACAGACTCCTTCTCACCTGCTGTGAAACAAAAACTATTATTATTTCTGTTTTACATGCAAGGAAATGGAGGCTCAGAGAGATTAATGAACTTATGTAAAGTCATGCAGCTAGGAAGTTGTAAAGAAGGGATTCAAACCCAGGTTTCTCTAACTCCAAAGCCCAAGCTCTTAGTCATTACACATTAACTATTTCCCTGAACTGGGACATGACACTAAGTAACAGAAAGGAAAAAAGAGGTGGACACCTGTCTTATGATTTATCAAAATAGAGGTCATGTGTAGCAAACACACAGAAAAAGCCCAGGACCAGGAGGTGGAGAGAAGAGCTGTAGTCTGGCACTATTACTAACCAGTTGTGTGACCTTAGACCAGCTGCTTCCCCCTGTATAAAGGGAAAATGCTTCCTACCCAATCTCTGGTGTCTAGCAGTAAAATCGCAGAAAATGAGAACTGTCAGGCTTTGTAGTAGGAGTGGCATAAATGAGTAAACCCAGAGAGGCTACTACTGTCTTGGGCCTTACTGACCATGCTCTTCAGCCCAGTGTTCAACCCAGCAGGCAGTGAAAATGACTTAACTTGTGTGGGGTCCTCCTTTACCCTTATATAAGTATGTTGTCATGAAAAGCCCTACCTCCCTCCCTCTTTGTTCCCCTTTCGTAGGCAGAGGGGAAGGGGCAAGCTGGGGCGGCATGGATGGTCCTTTCTGGCACCCTCTGCACTTACCCTTTGGACCTGGCAGGCCTGGCAGCCCAGTGGCTCCTGGCAAGCCTGAGTTCCCCTGGGGGCCAATTACCCCTGAAGATCCAGGAAGGCCTTTTGTCCCAGGAAGACCTCTTTTTCCAGTTGATGCAGGGGAACCTGCCTCACCTTTTGGACCTCTCGCTCCAGAATGTCCTGAATTACACAAGAAAGAACACAGGACAGTTGTGAAGTGAGACTCCGTCCAGATTTAGGCCACTTCCCATTTCCATGGCTTCTGGTTGTTTTTGTAAATGACCCTTCAACAGTGGCCTATGCAGGCTGCAAACAGGCAGAATTCTTAGTTGGCTAAAGCATTAGCACCTCCATCCAGAGTGCCTCACCAGTGGCTATAACTTCCAGCATTGCACAGTAGCTAATAGGGCACACAAACCCCTTCTGATTATAACTTCTTCCCACTTTATGAAGGTGGTTCAAATTTTAGCCTCTAAATGGAGCTCTGGAAAGCCAGGGTGGCAACTAGACTCTAATTTCCTGGAACTTCCAGTCTGAACCATGCCATACATAATGGCTGTTTCCTAAGCCAATTGGTGAAGTCGAGGTTAAAGCTAAGCCATTGTTTCAGCTTCCCAAGGGAACCATGGATACAGGACTGCCCTTTTAATCCCTCCTGCAAGCAGTTAAGTCAGCTAGTTCCTTGACATTAAGGTTGAAAGACCCCCTAGTGCCAAGTACTGTAGAAATCCTCGAGGCCCATTTGTTCTCCTAGGCATGCAGATACTTCTTTCACCCATGCTTTAAATTGGTCAATGGTATTTACCTCCTGAGCTGCTGCCAAAGTGGAATGTTCAGGTACAAAGCAAGGAAATTAAAAAATCAAAGGATTAAATCAATGAATACAGAGGTATTTGGGCCCCTGAAGACCTAAATGAATGGTTGACTTGACTTCCTATGGATTGAACAGCATCAGCTACCTGAAAGCTCCAGGATTCCAATGGGAGGCTGTGAAGGGGATTCCGCAACAAGAGAAGGAAATTCAATGGAGGCTGATCCCACAGTATGAGTTCAGGGGCCCTTGGCTTTGCCAGGTTACAGTGTATAGTAAGATAATTCCCTGAGAGGTAAAGCCACAAGGGTGTTAATCTGTCAGCTTGTGTGCCAGCTTCTTACCTGAATAGCCCATGTGAAGACCCCAGAAATACAGAAGAACAAAGAGGGTAAAAAGAATATTAGTGGTTCTATAAACAACTACTTCAGTCACTTGGCCAGGAATAAAAAGGGATGATATAGTCACTGAAGCAGGATGAGGGGGGTGCAAGAAGAAGATAAGCTGCAAACACTAGTCTGGAACTAGTAGTGTCAGGCTCTCTGCCCAATGAGAAACACTTTGATCATGGTTCTCAGAGACATGCATCCCTGAAAGGCAGGCCACCACACAGTCACACTCTGCTCAAGCTTCTCCCCCAACCCAATGATCCCGCATAGCCCAGTGAAGGCGATGGACATGGCTAGATCTCCCTCCATGGTAAAGGGGGATTCTCTAGCTAGGGAAGGTGGGGGAGGGCTGAAGCATGATAAGGTGGAGGGAGGTTGTGGGGGAAGTGGTGGGGAGGGACTTGTGTTAATATTTTGGAGGCTAAACTGCAGAAATCTGGTCTGCTTGGCACTCCAAGGATGACTTGAGATTTGAAACTTGAGAGGTTAGGAAAGTGAAGCCCCCTCTCAACTCTGGCCATGTCACACTACTGCTATTGCTCCTTGGGGCACTAAGGCCCCTTGGAGCACCAGGGCTGAGGGTTTAGCTTAAGTCTGGCAAGTTGGGGCTCCTTCTCCAAACGACCTACCGGAAGTGCCTGGAAAGCCTGGTGCACAATTGAAGGAAAACCCCACCTGCCCTGTAACTGCCTCAGATCCACTCAGTATGTACCTCAAGATTTGCCAGTTTCTTCTCTCTCTCCTCATCTCTTCCATTTTGCCATACTGTGTGTTTGCTGGTGCCTTGTGCAGACAGCACACAGGTGTGTATGATTGTGATAATCCCCATGGATGTACCTGTGGCCTACAAGTGTGAGTATGCTCCAGGGGATAATGGGGTGAAATGTATGAAGATGGGGCTGAGCCAAAAAAAAATCAGAGATATTTAGTCACTGCAGTGGGCAAAAGAAAGAAGGTGAAGAATAGATCTGTCAGGTTGGCTACTTGTTAGCAGTTCCTTTGAAGATTTAAGCTCCTGTGAAGAGGAAACAAATGCTTAAAGAGAACATTTTGGATTCCCTAGAGATTTGCATCCTCACCACTGTCTTGTGTGGATAAATTGAAAGCTTGTGTGAAGGCTTTGGATTTGAGAAGTGTGTTCCCTCTGAAAAGCCCAGAATATCTCACGACTTTTCCGTCATAAGCACATGAAGTAGTTATGAATGTTCCCATTATGCAGGTAGAGATGTTAGGAGTGAAGGAATTACATGATTTGGCAAGAGATGGACATCAAATCCATGCCGAAGTAGGCTGAGAACTCTGGTGTTTTTATTCCCATCCTTTGAAAATACACTGTAATATACAAAGGGAGGTATTTTCCAGCTTGGATGTATTTATAATCAACTGGGGTTTTTATTTTTTAGGCCACCTCGCAAAACACTGGAAATGTTGAGCTTGAAACCGTATTGCAATCTATCACCTTGCATTGTTGTCAGCCAGTCTTTCTTTCTTTATTTTACAGGACAAAAGATAGCACAGTGAAAGTGCAGCAGAGGGAATCCTTTGAGGTAGTCTGGGGAGGGAATGGGAGAAGGAAGGGAGCGTGAACTCTTGAAACCAGTAATACCAGAGACCATAAAACCCAGCACTATAATGATGAAAAGAAACTGTGGATTATAGGGGATAGTATGGTATGGGGGAAAACCTCTGAGTTGGCTAGAATTGATGAAAGCTGAATTTCATTCTCAGTTCTGCTTATAACTTGCTTTGTGACTCTGAACAATCTTCTTCATTTGTTCGGGCCAGGGGACATGGTTTCTTCATCAGTACGAGGAGATAAGCCCAGCCCACCTTGCTTACTCATGGGCATCCTGTGAGGTGACTAGAATCTATGTGAAATGCTCACCAAAAAAGTTGTAAACCATCTTCCTAATGTATTTGCAAAGTACTTTGTGTCTGTGCTGTCCAAAAAAACTATAATGTGAGCTATTGTTATTTTAAATGTTCTAGTAGCCACCTTAAAAAAATAAATAAGTGAGATTAATTTTAGTAACATTTTATTTGACCAAATATATGGTAAATATTATCATTTCAACATTGAAGTAAAATTGTTAATGAGATATTTTAGATTTTTTCTTATACTTAATTTTTAAAATCTGGCATGTATTTTTCACTTACAGCCTGTTTAATTTCAGACTAGCCACATTTCAAGGGTTCAGTATCATATGTGGTCAGTGGTTATCATTTTGGACAGTATGGCTTCATACTTTGCAAAGGAACTTCACATACACTGAGAGTAGGGCCTAAAAACAACAGGTATGTCCATTGCTATATTACAGATATACAGAGAGGTTCAGAGACTTGAAAAAGTTCCAGAGCTGGAGCTGGGTCTGAAGTCCAGGTGTCCTGTTTCCAACATCAGGGTTCTCTTCCTTTTTGATTCATTAGATACAGAGTAATAGGGACCACAAAGAAGCAACATGTGCCAGTGGCTCTACTGGCTCTGTTTCCTGGCTACCGAGAGAGACAGTATTTCAAAGAAGTGTAGAGAAGCACTAGAGTCATCCACTCCCACTTTGCTAGCAAGTAGGAGCAGGCTCATTCATATTTGAATCATCCATTTCCCTTCCAACTTCTACACCCATCCTGTGAAAATCTTATCAGATCATTCTTCAAAATACATCTTACAATTTAAGAGACATCAACCAAATGTAAAATGTGGGTTTCATTTGGAGCTTAATTCCAATATGACGATTGTAAAATACTTACACACACATGCACACGCACGACAATCATAAATCTGAATTCTGACTTATTAACTGATATTAAGTAATTACTAATTATGATATTGTTACTATGTTTTTACAAATCCCTTATCTCAGAAATTCTGAGGTATTTATGATGAAATGATAGGTCTGTTATTTGCTTCGGATTGGTTATGTGTTGGTAATTATCGATGCTTGCATCACTATGCCATTCTCTCTACTCTGTATATGTTTACGGTGTTCCATAATAAAAAGTTAAAACTTTTTACATTTTGAATCCATGCATTTCTCTTCATTCTCATTGTTATCACCCTAGTCCAAGCCACTACCATCTCTCACCTGGTCTGTTGCAGTAGCCTCTGTTTGCTATCTCACGCCCTTCCTTTCTCCACTCCCTTGGTGACCCCCCACAAGAGTAATTTTTAAAAAATAAGTCAGAGCCTTCTACTGGCTTCCTGCTACATTTAACATACAAGCCACATTTGACTTATAAAAGTCTCCATGATCCAGCTCCTCTCTGCCTGATTCTTGGCCTTGTTCACTCTGCTCCCATCCATTCAACCTCTTGCTGTTCCTCAAAGGTTCTGAGCTTTTTTCCAAACTTAGGGTCTTCATATTTATGGTTCCCTCAGCCAAAAACAATCTTCTTGGTTTCACATGACTTGTTCCCTCATAATATATATTTCCTCAGAGAGGTCCTTCTTGACCATTGTCCAAAGTAGCCCAACACATTCTCCATCTGTGATCCATCACTTTACTCTTTTCTCTTCTACATTCTTTACCAGTATATGAACTTGTTCTTGATTCATTTGTTTCCTTATTTATTGTCTGTTTCTTCCCTCACTTCTCCATTAGAATGCACTCTCCTCAAGGACAGGGACTTTTACTTATTGAACTCATTACTCTTATAACCTCAGAGTCCAGCAGAATGCCTACCTAGCACACAGGGGCCCTCAGAAGGTTTCTTAAGGGAAAGAACCTAAATTATAAAGGCAGATAGGAAAGTGAAGATAGGATTAGTAAGATCAACTCCCATTTATTGAACAGTTAATAAGTGCCAGGCACATGCAAAGTCCTTTATATTAAGTTAAGAAACTTGTTCAAGGTCACATAGCTAGAAACTGGTGAAACCAGAAGTTAAGCCTAGGTCTGTTTTAACTCTAGAGCTTGAATTACTAACCTCTAAAATAAATAGTCTCATGAAGAACCATGATAATGTTCCATGGGTTTAAGAAAAAAGACCATTTCAAATGCCTTCTAATAATGAAGATAGTGGAATTCTGTACAATAATCATAGGAAGAAGCCTTCTTGTTAAACTTCTATTGCTAAAGTTTTTGTCGAATTAAATACTGTATACATGCAGACCAAATATAAAGACTTACTTGGAGACCTGGAGGGCCACTTGTTTCTGGGAAACCCGGAAGCCCTGGTTCCCCCTGGAAAAACAAAGAAAGCTTAGTGAGTAGCAGTAGAAAGCATTGAACACAAAGGAGATGGCTCTTGAGCAACTTGGGCTGGGCAGTGGGAAACCAATGAGATATCAGGATTGGGTCACCAAAGGTTGGTGTAGACTTCCCAGGCTCCCAAACAAGTAACTGTACCAGGATATCATAATCTAGGAAGCCCTTTGTGGTGCAGGAAGAAACAAGGTCCATGGCAGGGAAGTAAAACTGTCTAAAATAAAAGCTCAAATACCCAGGCATGTTGGGGGACAGAAACGTTGATCATCTCTCTTCTTTCTAATTGAAGAAGCTGTGCAGTGTGTTTTCCTGTAGCAAATTACAGGCTGCAAAAAAATGCTTTTGGGAAAAATAACAATTACAGTTTGGATAGGGACATATAACATTTTAATCCATCTTTCCCTGATATTCTAATTTACCTATATGTGCCCTGGAAGAGCTCTCTAAAGTTTGGGCATGATCAGAGATGCCAGCAATCTTCCATATGCTCACAAACTGTTTCCAATCAATGGATACTCCCTGTAAACCTAGAGGGGACCTGGAACTATTTCTTGAACAACTAAAAATTGAATAGGAATAAACATATCTCCCTGCCTGTATGCCTTGACCACAAGTACAGGATCATAAAACTTAAGTAAACCCAAGGAAAGAAGGGAATACAGGCTAATGAAAGATATATGCACAGCTTAATAGCATACAGCCATTCAAATACACACCATATGCCTACTCACTCACATCAAATACGGATTACAAAATATCTTGGTTAAACAGGTCTACAACTTCAAGTTTGGTAGTTCAGATCAGGTAAATTAGAGCATCTACTGCTACTTGGTGACAGTATATCCTTCTTACAGGGTCAAGTTTTAAGAGCAAACAACTTTTTAAAAATGATAATTCAAAAAGCAACCATTTATATCCTATATGTTTTGTCACAGTACTTTGGGAACAACATAAGCATTGAGAAAGTTGGGAGTTAGGAGGAAAATACCTAACTATAATACTTGTTTTAAGTTATTTAGCATCTTGATAATTGGATCTGCAAAAGTGAAACACACAAACAAATTACCAATTAAATGATTACTCAAAACCTAGACACACTCATATGCATGTACCAAAAAAAAAAAAAAAAAAAACAAAAAACAAAATGAAAAAAAAAAAACCCTTACTTTTTAGAAAGCTTTTCATGAGGGACAAAACAAAGAAGACTTTACCCTCACTTTCAAACAAAAACCCATTGTCCAGAACCCTATATCCTTCCAGTGTAGTCTGGTTACTTGATTCAACTTTGATATTAATAGGAAAAACCTTATTTACTATTCCTGTTCTTAAACATTCACTACCTTAGATCCTTCTTTCCCTTTGGGAAATACCATAAATTCCAGTTCTCTGGTAAATGGTGGGGGTCCTTCAGGGCTGGGGAGGCCAACATCTCCCTATTAGATGAAAGGGAATATTAAGGAAAGCGGAAACCACACAGACCATTTTTTTAGAGAGTGGGTTTGTCCTCTGGATGTAACTCAAAAATAAACTGTCCATTGCTTTGGCCTCTTCACCTCACCCTTGCATCCATGAAGAAACAAAACTAGTAGTGCCAAGGGGTGAGAAGGAAAGTGCAGGTTCATGGTTGCCATAGTCATGCATGAAGGATGTTTAGAAAAAATTTTTAAAAAGTGTTTTGAGCAAGGTGAATAGCCACCTTTTAGCAATCATGATCAGACTCTAATTGGTCTAATCCTTGCCGAGGGCACAAACAGGGACAGTGCAGCCCATGTTGAAAAACTGGAGGCTGGATTCACCTATTGAAGGCAGTGCAATCTGCAAGAGGCAGCCATGAAGGGGGAGAAGGACAAAATTTGGGAGTCTCTATTGAGGCTCCCAAATTACTATACAGTTTGTATTGATGTAAATAGGAGAATGAAGAAGGGGAGATAAAAGAGAATGGAGAAATCATGCTTAAAGAGGTGAGAGAGAGGAGCTAGAAAGAGAGAAGAGGAGAAGGGGGAGCAAGAGGAGAAGGAAGGAAGAAGAAGAAAAAAAGAAGGAAGAAGGAGGATAGAGATAAGAGGGACAGCAGAGAGAAGGAAGGAGGTGACACAGTATACAAATACCCAGGTGGGAGGAAAAGAAAACATATTTGAAGAGAGTATATTTATAAGATATGCACACTTCACAAATAGGAAGCAGGAAGACTACAGTATTTTAAAGGAGAAACACCACAGTAGCCTATGTGAGGCAAGTCACATGCAGCCCTCAAGGGACCCCACCAGAGTATCAATGTGGGGTGGAAAATGCTCATTTCCAAAAGCAAATAATTAAGTTTCTTTACACAGGTAGGCACATTGGTGAACCCAGACACATTTCTTGGAGCATATGGAATGCAGATTGTATTTTGCAAAAATCTATTTACCTTGTCTCCTTGGAAACCTAACCCCATATTCCCCTGGGGCATGAGGTACAGGGAGGAAAAACAAATTAAGTAACCAAGCTCCAGAAACTTCAATTGGAGTGCAGCCTTTTTTTTTAACCATAAAGTGCATTTAATCAATCCAGAATATCTCTGAAGAAACAAGAGTACTTACTAGCAGGAGGCCAAATGCCTCAAGACAAAGAATACTTACATCAAGACCAGGGAGACCAGGGAAGCCTGGAGGACCCTATATTAAAAATTAAAAGAAAGAGAATGCTCTTTTTAGTTTCAGCCAAAAAGAATATGTGCATGTTGAGAGTCACTGGGCATAAGTCTTCCACCTTCTTGGTATAGCCTTGCATTAGTGCCGAAAGTTCTAGCTTCGTCTTCCATGGTTCTTTTTTTATCTTCTTTGAAACTTCCCAAATTCACCTGATAACCACATTCATGTTAAGTAGTGAAGGTTTCATGTGTCATTCCTTCCAATAGACCAATGCTGACCTTTGGTGACACTTAACCAAAGTAATGGGTAGTGGGATTTCCTGCACTGGAGAGAGAACAATCTGAGGCAGGCTTTCCCAGAACCACACGAACGTCTCTCTATGCTTTTCTTATACTACTAATGGCAAACATGACTGGTATCAAAAGGCGAGATAGGTAGGTAGAGTGGTCCGAGGTGCAGTGCTGAAAAGGATTTTGAAGGTTCTTCTGGGCTCAGGGTGGGTAACAGTGGTGGTAGTATGATTAATTAGCAATATCTGTCATGGTCAAGGGGAGTGAATGGTAGCAATAGGTGTGCCAGGTATCTCCCATCTCTGGGCTATACTTTAGGTTGAGCCAGACTAGGAGGCCTTGGAAGCACATAGTGGATAGTCAAATTGACTTTAATAAATAAAGACAACACATAGCTCTTTACAATATCATGCCTCATTTTAATCCCCGCAAGAATGAAAGTTGTCTTTCTCCAGTGGGAGAGCCTGCATATACATAGGTGTACATTAAATCCATGGCCTACTGGAGAAAGCACTCACATGAATTCTATGATTTATGTTACTTATTTGAAACCCTGGTGATCCTATAGTTCTTATAGCTCCTGGAGAACCAGGTGTTCCTTGTAGGCCCTAGAAAGGCAAGTTTTTACCAAGGTCAAAAAAGTAAGACATTTTCTCAAGGAAAATGAAAATATATGCCCACAGAAATTGCACAATAATGTCCATATCAACTTTATTCATAATACTAAAAAAATTGAAATGTCCCAGGTGTTCAACGATACAAGAATTGACACATGAACTGTGATTCATACATACAGTGGGCTATATGCTCAACAGTGAAACGTAACAAACTACTGTTATATGAAACAATGTGGGTGAATCTCAAAAACATTGTGCTGAGTGAAAGAAGTCATACCCCAAAGGCTACATATTATATTTTTACCTTTATATGATGTTCTAGAATAGAAAAAAAAGTGATTCAGGATGGAAAATTAGAATAGTGGTTGCCCTTGTAGGTGAGGTGGTGGCAGAGATTGATTAGAAAGGGGCAGGAAAGAACTTTTGAAGGTGATGGGAATGTCCTACACCTTAAGAGGGGTTTGGGTTACACGAGAGTATTCATTTGTCAAAACTCATCATATGTACACTTAAGGTTTGTGTATTTCATTGTGTGTAAATTTTATATAGAAAGAAAAACTGTAAACAAATTTTGAAGTCTAGTTAAGGATAGGCATGCTGTAGTATTTAGGGTAAGAGCATTATTTTCAGCAATTTGCTTTAAAATGCATAAATATAAGGTGGATTGATAGATGGATAGAAATGGGATAAAAAATTATACTAATATATTAATGGTTGGGGTGTTCACTGCAAAATTCATGCTATTTTGCTCTATATTTGAAAATTTTCGGAGAATCAAGATGGCGAAGGAGTGAGTGGAAGTCACACTGACATCCTCCTAGGACCAACCTGGAATTACAATAAAATTGTGGAGAAATCACCTGGAAATAACAACTGAACAATAGTGAGAGAGGAGCCTTGGAATCTCGGAGACAGAAGAATCGGCTTTAGTGTAATCTAACTGGTAAGGAGTGCCCTACAGACCTGAGAAGGCAGGTGGGGCACCAAGGGGTGGCAGCACAAGAAGGATATTGAAAGGGACAGTTGGATCCCCCTGAGAAGGGCGGGGTCTAAACCAAAAGCAGGGATCTCTAGCCCACAGCACCAGAGCCCAAAAAGTACATGGAAAACAGCCAACTGCAAGAGGCGGCAGGGTTGCTCTCTACCAGAGACAGGTGGCTGGAGATGCAAAGAGCCCTCTATAGGGCCAATGCAAAATTTTTATTTGAAACCACTTACCCTGGTCACCGGCAAAGGCGGGGGCAGAGTGGGCTAGAGACACCTGAGGAGAGATTGGGGAAGGAAGCTTTGGGGAGAGAAGGGGGAGAGTAGCCCCCAGGATCCCAGTGCGGACTCCTACCCCATGAAGCTGCAGCTTGAAGGACCCAATAACCCTGCCCCCAGGAGGGACTCCTCCCAGCCCTGAGCTGTCTAAGGTGACTTGCTGAGTGCAGAGTGAATAGATTAACAGCTGAAGGAGATAGCCACAAACAGTAGATTACTGGAAGCCAAGAACAGACTGCTTAAGTTCAGAGAGGGTCAGCATCTGACATCATCAAAGGCAGATCCAGAAAGTAAAAACAGAGGTCTCCAACCAAAGAAGTTCACACCACAAAGTCATGAAATTAATACAGATCAACTTAAGAGTCAGAAGCAAAAGAGAAGAGTCTCACAAATAATGGGAAGACAAAGAAATGCGCCCCACTTGAAGGGAAAGGAGGAATCCCCACAAAGAGAACTAAATGAAATAGAGGCAAGTAAACTATCAGATATTGAGTTCCAAAGAATGGTTCCAAGGAAGCTCAATGAGCTCAGTGAGCTCAATGAGAATTACAAAAAACTACAGGGAAACTACAAGGAACTTACTGCCAACTATATCAGCATGAAAAAGGACATAGAAACTATCAATAAGAAAGAAGAGGAGATGAATAATACAATTTCTGAATTGAAGAACACAGTAGAAGGAATCCAAAGCAGTCCAGATGAAGCTGAGGACCGAATCAGCAAGCTGGAGGACAAGGAAGAAAAAAGCTCCCAGAAAGAGCAAGAAAATGAAAAAAGACTCAAAAAGAATGAAGAGGGGTTGAGAGAAATGCAGGACAACCTGAAACATAATAATCTTCACATAATAGGGATACCAGAAGGAGAAGAGGATGAGGAAGGGATAGAGAACCTGTTTGAAAAAGTCATGATGGAAAATTTCACTAAGTGGAGGAGAGAAAAAGTCAAAAAGTCCAGGAAGCACAGAGGGTCCCATTCAAGAGGAACCCAATGAGACCCACTCCAAGACACATCATTATTAAAATGACAAATATCAAAAACAAACAGAAAATCCTAAGGGAAGCAAGGGAGAAAGAGTTAGTAACATATGAGGGATCCCCGATACAGCTAGCATCTGACTTCTCAAAAGAAACACTGCAAACTGGAAGGGAATGGCAAGAAATAGTCCAAGTCATGAAAAGCAAAGGCCTGCAGCCAAAAACTGCTCTACCCAGCAAGGCTCTCAATGAAAATGGAAGGTGAAATGAGTTTCCCAGACAAAAGAAGGCTGAAAGACTACACCTCCACCAAACCAGCACTGCAAAATATGCTAAAGAGACTGCTTTAAGATGAAGAAAAAGTTTCTATGATTACCCAGTTCCTTTCAGAGTTGCCAATACTTGATATTACAAATATTTTAATACCCATTAATCTGATTGTGACAATGATGTTATTTTAATTGTTCCTTTATTATTTGTTGAAACTAAACCTGTTTTAGTATATTTCTTGCTTATTTCTATTATTTTTTAAAAAAAGCTTTAAATGACTTTCTGGTATTCTTTTTTTTATTTTTTTTTATAATTAACTTTGACATTTATTTTTTTTGTCAAGTATATTTTATTGATTATGCTATTACAGTTGTCCCATTTTTTTCTCCCCTATATTCCCCTCAGCCCTGCACCCTCCCTCCCACCTGCATCCCCCCCTTAGTTCATGTCCAGAGGTAGTACATATAAGTCCTTTGGTCTTTCCATTTCCTATACTGTTCTTTTTTTTTTAATTAATTTATTTACTTTTTAAATACATTTGTCTCTGCCTTCCCCCCACCTCTTTCCCTTGCCCCCTCCCACCTTCCCTCCCTCAGCTCTTCCCCTTTGGTTTTCTCCATGAGTCCTTGCTATATGTTCCTTGACTTTCCCCTTCCCTTCCCTTTCCCTGCCCCCCACTTCCCTCTTGTCTCTGTTGATTTCTTTTCCTTTCAGTGTTGCTGGTCATATTTTCCTTGCTTCTTTGCATTGTTGGTTAGGTTCCGCTTATAGGTGAGATCATATGGTATTTGTCTTTCGCCCCCTGGCTTATTTCTCTTAGCATGATGCTCTCCAGTTCCATCCATGCTGTCGCAAAGTTTAGTACCTCTTTTTTTCTTTCTGCTGCGTAGTATTCCATTGTGTATATGTACCATCACTTTTTGATCCAATCATCTACTGATGGGCATTTAGGTTGCTTCCAACACTTGGCTATTGTAAATTGTGCTGCTATGAACATTGGGGTGCATAGGTTCTTTTGTATTGGCGTTTTGGTGTTCTCAGGGTATAGTCCCAGCAGGGGAATCGCTGGATCAAAAGGCAGTTCCATTTTCAGCTTTCTGAGGAAATTCCACACTGCTTTCCATAGTGGCTGCACCAGTCTGCATTCCCACGAACAGTGGACTAGAGTTCCCTTTTCTCCACAGCCTCGCCAGCACCTGTTGTTTGTGGATCTGTTTATGATGGCCATTCTGACCGGTGTGAGGTGGTACCTCATGGTGGTTTTGATCTGCATTTCTCTGATGGCTAGTGATGCAGAGCATCCTTTCAAATGCCTCTGGGCCCTCTGTATCTCCTCCTTGGAAAAGCATCTGCCCAGGTCCTTTGCCCATTTTTTTATTGGATCGTTTGTCTTCTTGGAGTCAAGTCGAGTGAGTTCTTTGTATATCTTGGAGATCAAACCTCTATCTGATGTATCATTAGCAAATATATTTTCCCAAAAGGTTGGCTCCCTTTTCATTTTGCTGATGTTTTCTTTCGCCGTGCCGAAGCTTCTTATTTTGATGAGGTCCCACTTGTTTATTCTTTCCTTTATGTTCCTTGCTTTAGGAGACATATCAGTGAAAAAATTGCTGCGTGGGATATCTGAGAGTTTCCTGCCAATGTTCTCCTCGAGGACTTTGATGGTGTTGCAACTTATATTTAAGTCTTTTCTCCATCTTGAGTTTATTTTTGTGTATGGTGTCAGCTGATGATCCAATTTCAATTTTTTGCATGTAGCCATCCAGCTCTCCCAACACCATTTGTTGAAGAGGCTGTTATTGCCCCATTTTATGCTTCTGCCCCCTTTGTCTAATATTAGATGTCCATAGAGACCTGGGCTTTCTATTCTGTTCCACTGGTCTATGGGTCTGTTCTTGTGCCAGTACCAGATTGTTTTGAGTATAGTGGCTTTGTAGTAGAGTTTTATGTCCGGTATTGTGATCCCTCCTACTTTGTGTTTCTTTCTCAAAATTGCTGTGGCTATTCGGGGTCGTTTATGGTTCCATATAAATTTTTGAAATGTCTGTTCTATTTCTGTGAAATACATCATTGGTATCTTAATAGGGATTGCGTTGAATCTATAAATTGCTTTGGGTAGTATGGACATTTTAAGGATATTAATTCTTCCAATCCATGTGCACGGTATATGCTTCCATTTATTTGTGTCTTCCTTAATTTCTTTTTTCAATGTTTATAGTTTTCTGCATACAGGTCTTTTGTGTCTTTGGTTAAATTTATCCCTAGCTACTTTATCTTTTTTCGTGCTATTTCGAATGGTATATTTTTCCTGATTTCTTCTTCTTCTATTGCATTGCTGGTGTACAAAAACGCCTTTGATTTCTGAATGTTGACTTTGTATCCTGCTGTTTTGCCAAATTCACTTATTAGGTTGAGGAGTTTTTGGGTAGAGTTTACAGGGTTCTCTATGTACACTATCATGTCATCTGCAAACTATGATAGTTT